GTAAAAGTAGGAAAAGGCCTGGCGACCTATTTCCAAAAATCAACCAATGCAAATTCTATTGATCACAAGCTTGATCTGCAACCCATCATGGGGCTGTTTCATTGTACATGGGCTTGCCCCAATTTGTTGTTAGGTGCTGTTGAGTTGATTCTAACTTAGAGATGCTATGTACAACAGAGCACTATGCTGCCTGGTCCTGCACCATCCATCCTCAGTCATTATGCCTGAGCCCACTGCTGCACTCCTGCTACTGTACCAATCCATCTCTTTGGTCTTCCTGTTTTTCGTTGACACTCCACTTTAGAAGCATGGTATCTTTCTCCAGGGACTGGTCCCTGCAGACAGTATTTCCAACGTATGAGATGATGTCTGGCCATCCTGGCTTCTAAGGAGCATTTTAGCTGTACTTCTAACAGATTTGTTCTGTAAGTCCATGGTACTTTTAACATGTTATTTCTTGACTGCCACTTCCAGGAGAGTTGACTGTGGATCCAAGCAAATTGGTCTCTTGACAACTTCAATCATTTCCCCATTTATCATGTTATTATTGGTCGTGGGTTTTTTTCCCCCCCACATTGTGGTGCAAATTACACAACGCTGTAGTCTTTGACCCTAAGTATCTTAAGTCCTCCTAACTTCCAGCAAGGTTGTATCATCTGCTTATTACAGGTTGTTAATGTGTTGTCCTCAAATCTTGATGCCACATACCCTTTCATATAATTCAGCTCCTTGGGATTATTTGTTCAGCATACAGATTTGAGTATCTGGTGAAAGAATACAACCCCAGGGCACACCTTTCTTGATTTTAAACTATTCAGTGCCAGAGTTTGGAGCCGACTTAATGGCAGCTAACATCCAAGATTTACACCCTCGGAAACCCTGTACAGGGTCGTTATGGGTCGGAACCGACTCGACGGCACTTAACAACAACATCCGAGAGAGGCCTGGTGTGGCACTCCAGGTTAATGCACTGGACCACGATGTCAGTTTGAACTGCAAGGTTGGCAGTTCAGGCTCACCAGTCGCTCCTTGGAAACCCTATACAAGGTAACAATGAATCAGAAGCCAGAAGGCAATTAAGCAGCACTTAACATTGAACGGACTGTCACTAATGCCTAGGGAATACACATTGGAAGCCCAGTACAGGTCAGGACTGACTCAATGGCACTTTTTAGAGGAAAAAGAAAATTAATAAATGAAAAAAATGAAACAAAATGGTGAATCTGAGAGTTCCTTAAATACTTGTGTGTTTCTCCAAAATCTTGAAACTATATAGGTTACCAAGTCTTAAAACTTTTATTTAGGCCGATTTCCTTTAATAAATTTTACTGCACATTTCTTAAGTGCCATTGAGTTGGTTCCAATGACCCTATATAGGGTATTCCAGGAATGGCTGTTTGAACCACCAAACTTGTGGCTCAAACTGACCTTTATCCCACAGCACACCAGGACTCATAATAGAAGGAACACAAGTAACATTTATTTTCCTTTGCAATACTGTTGTTGTTAAGTGCCATCGAGTTGGTTCTGACCCATAGCGACCCTGTACAGGGTTTCTGAGGCTGTAAATCTTTACGGGAACAGAAAGCCTTCTCTCTCTCCTGCGCATCAGCTGGTTGTTTCGAACTGCTGACCTTAAGATTTGCAGCCCGATTTGTAACCACTACGCTACCAGAGATCCTTGCGATAAAGGGTAAATATTACCCAAATGTATAAAGCTATTGGCAATGTGAACCTTTTTCTGTGAACATCTCCCCAATTGATGTGTAGTGGTTACCGACTCCATGTAAATCGGTGTTTTTAAAAACCAAGCCTTTCTCTTTCACTTTCTAGGTAAACTCAAAAGTGACAACTTTTTGGTAAGCAGCCAAACATGAACTGTTCACAACACTTAGGGACTCCCAATAGGGAGTCCTGGTGTGGTGCTGTGGGCTAATGTGCCAGATTGCAAAGCCATTTGAACTGCAAGGTTGGCGGTTCAAGCTCACCAGCTGCTCCTCGGAAACCCTATACAGGGTTGCGATGGGTCAGAGTCCACGGCACTTGACAATAGTATATTGGGTAACCATTTAAAATATTACTCATTAGAATAAGTTGTACACTACTTATGGCACTGTGGGTTAACGTGCTAGATTACAGTTGGTTTGAATTGTGTCAGTGGTTCAAGCTCACCAAATGCTCCACGGAAACCCTACACAAGACAAGGTCACTATGGGTTAATATTGACTCAAGCGCACTTTACTACTTATGGCACAAACATGTTATCATTGTAGACAAAGAGCACATGACCGAGCCTAGGAAGACACATAAGAGTAGCCATGACCATGTAGATTGTAAATCTAATAATTCTAAATTTTGCCACCATTGAACTGAAATTGAATATAACCCATAGAATTCAAAGAGGCCAGACCCCAGTGCTCCAAATTCAAATTAAATAAATTAGGTTAGGATAAATTTGGGGGACATGCATTCTTCCTAGTTTATCTAATAAGTACCCTGGAAAACGTTTAAACCACTGAAAAGCAAAAAAAAAAAAGGAAATTCTGCATGACTGTTAAGTGCTATTGAGTTGATTTCAACTCACAATGACCCTGTACAGCTGGTGGGTTTGAATTGCTGACCTTGTGGTGGTTACCCATCCAGTGCTATTCTGCAAGGTCACACACCAAGATATGGATATATAGTTTAATATCCAGTTAGTTTATATTATGTATGGCACTGTTTTTCTTTAAAAGTACTTTTGATGTAAGTGGTTGACTAACAGACCCATTGATTATGTTGATTCCCATTTGAGAATACTTGTTTCAGACCCCTCTTTCTTTATGTACAAGTCTACCAATGGCAATTCCAACGGAAAAGTCATTTGCTGGAGTTGCTCAGCAATATGCTTTTATGCTAAGTGGGAATAAATTCAAACCAAGCCCTTCCCTCATTTAGCATTTTATTGAAGAGAAAAACCATAAAATAGGTTAACAAAAAAGTGGGAAAAAGATTGCAAAATGAAAAGATGGTGACATTGGAACATAAGAGTTGCAGGAGCAGGTAGGACTCAAAATGGCCATAAAGGCACTGCGGTGGTGTAACACTATCAAGTAAAAGGTAAGAGGAAGAAGCATGATGTTTCTAAGTTTCTTATGCCTTGTACCAGCTTAATACTCCACCTAAGACAGATGGATGTGTGCAAATTCCAAGACTCTCAGCCTTACTCACAAGTGAGCAAGGATCTATGTTCTCAAGAGAGCCCATGATCTACAGTGGTTTCAACGATTATGTAAGCCTAGGTCTTTTAATAAATTGGTCTTTGCTATTAATAGGACATTTTTATAGACATTTACCTACACAATTATCAATGACTCAGATAGCTAACAATGTGGACAAACTTGCCTACTATCATGTCACAAGGGAATCCACATTCACATTCTAATGTTCCCCTTTTCTTCATTAGTGGCAATGGCTTAAAGTAAGAGAACTTTGGTCAAAGCCCATTTTTTAATACTACTTGTCCTTAAAATTTTGAAAGGTGGTAAGAGTCACCTTTGTCCTTTCAATTAGGCAAAGTAATTGGATTATAATCACTGATACCATTAAGAAAATGGCAAAACGTGACCCAATTCTTCAGTTTATACCAAGAAAAATTTACCATTTCTTAAAACAGTAAGCAGATATCCATAAAAACCTCAGAGTAAATTAATGTGAGGAGGCTTCAATGTTTGTGGGAAAAAATAAGGTTAACTGATGTTTTCCCATGAACTTTTTTATGATGTCGCCTCAATTTTTTGCAAATAAAAATAATTTGTCCATTTAATTATTCCTCTGAAGTAAAGCCAACTTGATGACCTTTTATTTGTTAAGTAAAATTCCATTAGTCTGTTTTTATACCTGGACGTCAATTTTGACACAATTATTTTATTTAGACTCATTTTTATTAGGTACGCCTCCTGGATTATTGAACCCATAAAACTGCCCCAGAATAGCATGTTGTCTAGCCACATCATGTCCATGTCTACCTCCACCTCTTGACACCATACAGTGACAACTCTCAGGAAGAACTAAGGGGCGAGCCCAATAACCTACACCTTGATGTCAGACTAATTAGTGAATGCAGTGCTTTTAAATAACATTAAGTTTAAAAACTCAAGTATTTGAACAAAGGAATATAATATATTCATTTCTTAAACTGCAATTTCAAGTGATTATGCTTATGGATACATGGAGTTATTACAAATCCATTTAACTCCTACAAATTTGCAGTATAATTTGGGTCCTACAGTATTATTACCCTTTAGTCATAATGGAAGTACAAAAAATTTAGGGTATACCCTCCTTTTTGTTTTCCCAAACTAACTATACATTATATAAAGTTACAGGATCTACCCAGTTAATCTATCACATATCCCAATACCCACTAACTCCAAAGAGAGCTGGTTTTTGGGTGGAATTTTCTTTAATTGCCAAATGACTTTAGCAAGGGATATGTTAAGTACCCATTAAAATATTCAAACAGGAAATGTATTTGCTTTTTGATTTTGAAGAATGTGCTAAGTTTCTGACCAATGAAAGGCTACTTCCACTATTTTTACATAAAGTTAAAGAGCACTGCGCCTTAATTAAAAATGTTCATTAACTACATCAACCACTTCCAGAAAGTGGGAATATTGGCTTAAAGAAGACCCAAAGTATTAGGAGCTATTTCTTAGAAGAGTTCAATTAAATTTAAGTTTCTCAAACCAAAGGTTCATTATTCAAAACCAATTAATTCAGACAGAACTGTCTAACAGCTTCACTACAAAGTACCTTGTTAAAACGAAATTGAAGGGGCAAAGTAAAGACTTTGGCAAATTTGAGTAATAGCACAAAATATTATTCCAAATTGAATAATTTATTGCTGGTCAGAGGCTTGCCTTGTTTTACACTTTAGTAGAATTTACATTTCCTCCCACAAATAGCCAATATTAATATCAAAGGAATCTAATATTGACCTATTCAATAAGGCAATCATGTTGGTAGCAAACTTTTATTTAAATCTTACATAAACTCAAGCTTTATAAAAAGCCAACATAATTGAAAATTGAATTCTCCCCTCTAAAGCCTTAAGTATTCAAAGCTCGAAACAGTTAATTTAGAAATAAGCAAACGAATAAAACAAAAAACCTCTGCAGCAGATCCTGCTGAAATACTTAAAAAAAAAAAAAAAAAATCTAAATTGAGCTTAATCTTTACAAAAGTTATTTTAGCTCAAAAGCTATAAAATCAAAATAATCTTAATTCTACAAAGAAGGGAGAGGGTCTTTGACTTCATGCCACCATTTCTTTAGAACCTCTTATCTTTTTCATCAAATTTGGCCACAAATCAAATTTTTGTGTGCCCCTCTTTTTTAGGTAATTCCTCTTGCAGAAGAGGCCAAGTATAAACATGAAATAACTGCCTAAGCAAGTAGGAAAGTGTTCCATAATAGTGTGCAAAGAAGGTTAAGAGTTCTGGATTAATCTCTGGAACTCGATCTGGACCTTGACCTTGACTTGGAGCGAGATCTAGAATGGGATCTTGATGCAGCTCTTTTTGGTGGAGGGGACACAGAATGAGCCTTTGAGGGTGGAACAGGTAGGGGTGAATTGGAACGAGACTGGCTCCTTGATCTGGACTTGGACTTTATATCACCTTTTCCATTTTCCTTTGGAGAACGAGATCGAGAACGAGATCTGCTTCGAGACTTCTCATACTTATCCTTAGATCGACTTCGAGAGCGGGACCGGGAACCACGGTCAGACTTAGGCTTAGATTTGCTCTTGGATCTGGATTTCCTGCTCTTTGATCGAGATCGTGATCGACCTTTGCTCCGCGACCTGGATCTGAACAAAACAAAAAGTCATATTTCCCCCAATACCTTGTCCAAACACATATAGCCACCCTCCAACACAAATAAACATAGCAATAGAAAAAAACCCCAACAATGTGCTATTTACCGGGAGCGACTTTTTGAGACACTTCGAGATCTACTGCGGCTGCTCCTGCGACTCCTACTTCGAGACCTTCTCCTCGATCGTGACCTGTAACAAGAAGCACAAGGAAATCGTAACCTCTATAGTGCTCACTGTGGACACGCAGATTCAGTCAAAACCTTCTGAAAAGGAGCCAATGATGCACCACCAAAAATAAACTGTAAACAGAATCAGGCTCAACCAAATAGCAATTAAAATGATTAATAACTTTTTTCCTTGTTTCAGGTAAACATCCACTCTTCACCTGCTAGTCCTTCAAGTTACCTGGATCTGCTTCCCGAGTAAGACCGCCGATGGCTCGTTCGTGGTTTATCCTCAATGAGCCTGATGTTCCTGCCATTTATTTCTGTACCATCCAGTTTATCCAAAGCACGTTTCATGTCAGAGTAGGAGCGAAACTCAATCACGCCTTCATTTGTGCGTTCTTTGTGAGCATCCGCATAGGTCACTTCACCTGCTTGTCTCATGAAATCCTAAATGGCAAGCCAAGACTGGTCAGACTCTAAAGACCTACATACCATTACACAAAGTAAAAAAAAAAGGTGCAAAAGTCTGTTGGGTTTTTTTTTTAACGTTATCGATCATATCATTTTAATGCTCAGTTATAACACATACCTTTAAATCTTGCCAACTGCAACGACTAGAGAGATTTTCTACAATAAGCCTGTACTCTGTACGAACAGGTGGTCCATATTTGTCTCTGCCAGAGGTTCTGCGACTGCTGTATCCACCTCCACCACCTTTATCACATGAATGGAACAATTAGATTTTTTGTAATGACAGTGATGACATGCTTTGAAAGTTAGTACAAACATATCAACTTTTATTTACTGGAGGACTTTGCTATTATACTGCTAAACCTTTGATACATTTGTGATTTGCCATAAATTAAATTAAGGGCAAGTCAAATATACTAAATCCAACTAAACTTTTCCTACAATCTGTTAGAGAGTGACTGCTCCTTTATTCAATTCACCTCGCTAAGTTTTATTTTACAGAACATTGTAAAATATAAAACTTAACTGATTACATGCATTTCTACATTTTACAAAAATGTTTACTAGTTACACTAAGTACTTACATCACAGTGTGAGGTTTTTGGTGGTGGTTTGGCCACAAAACACGCAAGGTAACAGTCACCTAGTTCAGATTAACCAGTTTTGTCTAACCCTTGGAATCCTCACCATCACCCTGCGTCTAATGGCAAAAGGCTGCTGTCGTCATGGCTTCCGGTAAGGTCAGCCAAAGGGTCATAGGGCAAGGGTCACACAATGTATGGAAAAGCCAAGGCCAATCAGGAAAGGCAGTCATCTTAGCCTCAGTGGACACAGCCTCAGCCCCATTGGTCACTTTCAAATTGAAACATCAAGGACTTGTTAAAAAGTTTGAATTCAACATGCAACAATTTCAACATCATAACATTTCACATAACCAAAAATCCCCCCACCTCCTCCCAGTAACATGCCCCAGCTAATTCAAATAAAGCAGAAAACTTATTTAGATTAACTTGTGGTATAATACACCACACTGCTATAAAATATTCCCTATTTGAATAACTAAGACCTAAACCGAAGCTTTAAACCCATTCCTTCCCTTCCTCGTCCCCCCTCCCCCAAAGCCAGTCTGCCCCAAAATATCTAAACTAAAGCATTCTAGCTAGTGTACTGACAGGTAAGCTAGGGCGAATCAAGAAATACAGCCAGCCCTTACTTCCTCTGCGGGCAGAACCCACGACAGTACTGAAACGTGCTTGTAAGCCAAGCCCCACCTCAACTTAGCAAAAAAACACAGTAAACTCACCCTCACCCGACCCAGGTCCTAACTAGGTAAAGCCCACCCCGATCCCTGCCTCCGGCGTCCCGCAGCTTCCCAGTGCAGGCGCGACGGCCCCGGAGAGATCGGAGCCTAAAGCGCCCGGCCATCGCGCCCGCCCGGGTTGGGAGGCCCCACCCCGCCTGCGCGCGCGCGCCCGCCCGCCCCCCTGAATTCCCGAGACGCGGAGCGCGCGGGTGTGGGACTCACTGCGGCTTCCGTAGCTGTAGCCGTCGCGGTCACGGCGCGGGCCCCGGGCGTGCTCTACGATCACGCGCTCGCCGCAAAGGTCCTTGCCGTTCAGCTCGTAAACGGCGTCGTCGGCGTCGCGGGAGTCCTCGAACTCCACGAAGCCGTACCTGCGGGCGGAGCGAGGGCCGGTGGCGTCGTTAGCCGGGGCCGCGCACGCTCGCTCGCCCCCGCCGCCCCAGCGCGCTCCCGCCGGGCCGCGCGGACGCCATTTTGGGGGCCCTGCCACGCGGCGCCGCGGCCTAGGCGGTCTCCTCACTCCCGGAGCCCTCGCCACTTTTAGGCCCGGGACGTTGGGGGCGGATACGGGCAACCAGTCTCGACTCACCCATTTTTGAGATCTACTTCAAGGAGGCGGCCATAGCCACTGAAAAAGCGCTGGATGTCCTTTTCCCGGACGTTGTAGCTAAGGCGTCCTATGTAGACGCGTGGCATGGCCGTGGCGGGCAGTGGCCCGAAGGCTGGCTCTCGAACGGCGGACCGCAAGGCAGGAGTCGCGGAGCGGGTGGGGATAGTGCCCGAACACACGCCTCACACTACAGCGGCGGCCGAGTTCAGCCACACAATGGCGCGCGCGCGCGCCAGAGCTACGCTATAAGGACGAACGTACGGGGGCGGGACTCTGTGCGTGTGATGTCAGCACGCAGGCACGTACCCGTCCGCGTTGGACCTCTGGAGGGTGACTTGCGAATCCACGGTCCGCTAGGTTTTTGTTAAGTACGCTTTTGCTACCCCATAGAATTTTTACTAGCCCTCCCCACCCATTTTTGTTAACGTTGTAGCCTGTCGTTCGGCTACTGACATTTTCTAACTTGTACTTTAGAGAACGTGCGATCTCTCAGAGACTGGCACTTATAGGCAGTCTAGGGAATGGGTAGTTTTCATTGGCTCCCGAGGTTGTCATAATAGGTCATCCTAATTTGTGATTGGTCCATTAAAACGAGGCTTCCGGTTTCGTTTAGCGATTGGATCACGCTCAGTTTGATGAGGAACGCGCTCTGGGACAAAGTTGTAAATAACCGGCTTCACGGAATCCGCGGTTTACACCCGGTGCGAGTTCACGGCTCTGCCAGCTTCAAACCCTCAGGGTCTCACCCTTCATTAGTAATCGCCCCATCTCTGCAAACCCCCTTCTCCAATTGGCAGGCACCTGTAGACTAGGGTGTACTTTGGGAATCTGAGTAGGCGCTCCTTACGAGCTCTGCCAAGATTCCTGGCACACAGATAGATATGCCTGACATTCCTTTCCTGTAGAGAGACTCCATTGGCCCAATAAGTACCATCTTTACCCCGTTGTTTTGGAAGGTGCCATTTGTATCAGGTGCCTTCAAAAAGTTCCTGGGGAGGCCCTGTGGGCCCAAGCGTTGCTGACCGTCCAAACCATAGGCTCTGAGGATCAGACTTTAGCCACCTAGCAGACATAGCAAACTGTCCCTCATCTGATTATTCAGTTATGCTGGTTAGTAATTCCATACATGAGCCCTGGATA